CTGATTGGCATTCAAAGACTGCAGGAGATAGTACTGCAGTAACATTTTGGATCCTCATGTTGAAGGCCTGGGCTTTAGGGGACAGTAATAGTCATGCCACTGGAACCCCCTCCACCAGCAATCCATGAGATCTCATGAACAGAGGTAGGAAAAGTGCTTAATTGGTATATAAGGATCACGTTTACTCTGAAGTTCTTATTGGGACTATTGTTTAATATGAAATTACTCTTCAGCCTCGTAAGACATGATCATATTAATTCATGGAGAAATGAATCCATCAGTGAAGCACAACAGTGTCACTAACTGCTTTCGTTGCAGTGAGATGGTTTCCGCTGGCTGCCATGCTCTGGAAAAGCACGCTATTTCTTGAACGAAAACGTTGTTTCCACTTCACTGGTCGTGAATATTTATTTTTCCTTTAGCACAAATTTAAATGCTGGGTTTTCTTCCAGGGAGGTTGTTCATGAGGACACACTCGTTACGAAGAAATCTGGGTGGAGCTTGTCTTTCTATATCAAGCATATTGTGAGTTGAACAGAGTAGATCTGATCTGTAAGCCATCTGGTATAGAGGTAGCAGTACAGTATTGTGATAAAGCACTTCCACAACAGCACTTTCAAGCACTTTGAACCTCACAGAATCCAGAAAAAAAATCCCATTAAAAATGTGCTTCGAAAGAAGAACACCAAGCTTTACTCTTACTAGTACTGCAGGCACAGAAATCCTCCTTTTCCTTAGCTAGGACCTACCCTTGATCCTGACTGATCCACCATTAGTGATCAAGAACATTGAGCAGGGTGAACATGCAGGGTCTTGGCTGCAGTCTGTGCAGATGATAATCTCTAACAATATTAATAATCAGGGATTCACTTTTGCTAGAAACACAGCTGTGCCAGAATCTGCTTCACTGGAGGAAGAAGATTCAGCTTCAGACCTCAGCCATGGCTGAATTAAAAATTCTCTTTTTTTTTTCCTGGAAAATGTTTGTATTTATAACACAGGTAAAACTAGTAGATTTTAAACGTTAGTTTAATGATATTAGGTTGTAATTTCTGATAAGTGAGAATGTTTCAAGGCTCAAAGATGAGACAGGCTATCTGATATGTTCAGTATCACAAGGGGTTAGGATCTCTGACAGCAAAGAAAGCGCTTGCTGTGAGTGAAGTTTGCTTTAACCAAAACTACATAGGAATATATATACCAAAAAAAAAAAACCTTTCAGAATTACAGACAAATATGAGTTACATGTAGTCCATGTAGTTAAATCCATTTTTGATTTTGGAATTAGATGCCAGTTTTCAAGGTAATCCACTCACGGAAATAAGTCACTCGTGTGTAAACTCCAGGTTTATTTGGTTTGGCACATTCATCTCCCCAGCTCACTATTCCCACGAGGTACCACATCAGCCTAGAGTCTGGAGTAACCAGTGGTCCCCCAGAGTCCCCCTAGAGAAAGAGGAGGGGAAAAAAGAGATTTAATTGATCAGAAGGAAAAATACAATTCCCTCCATGGACAGAAGGGTGTGCCCAAGAAGAGAAGAAAGCAAGAAAGCAAGCAGTATTTCAAGAGCTGCCATTCGTGCAGAATGCAGGTTGTTCTTGAAACTTGAGTCGGAAGTCAGTGGCTTTTTCCTGTTTGCCATGGAACCTCCTGATCTGCCTCTGTAGTTTTACAGTAGAAAGGAAAAAAGCTTCTCTTCTGTTTTGTGAAACACTGCTTCCCACCTGCCTTGTCTGCCTCCTCAGACAAAGGAGGGAAGCACAAATATGTACAACAGTCCAAGTAAAGAGGAAGTTTTTTCTCCCCAGGAACCGCTATTCTTACAACAAATAGTCACTTGCAATAATAATATTTCAAAACAGATTTCATCAAGTACTTGGGTCTTCTAATTAGACAATATCTCCTTAAGATAATAGCCACTTCCAAAGGGTCAATTCAGACACTGTTAATAGCATGACATGGTAATAATATTTAAACTGGAAACCTTACAGGCTGAAAGGCAGTCCTCACCCAACAGACCAAATTCCCCATCTTCCAGCAAAATGCACTCTTCTGTGCAGGTCTCCTAAATGCTGTGCCAGTCAGGAGCAGAGGAACTGAGCCTCCCAGACTTATTCTGCAAAGGGGTTTTACTTTGAACACAGATCTGTAGGACTGTGTTTCTGGAAAGAGTCTGTTTTGAGCCAGCACTTGGCAGTACATTCTTTGTAAATAACATAAATAGAAATCGTGGTTTTTAAAAGTTTCCATTACGGAAATACTTTTGTTCAAACATAAACATTTACTTGCAGCATTTACAGACCTGCACCACACGAGTATCCCTACCATTCTATTTACACTTAGCTTCCTTACAGTTATCTTTGTTTCAGACAGTTTTCCTTCCTCTGATGCAAGTCTGTTACCAAAGATCATATAACACATCTGTATCGGGATGATCCAGTCCAGAATTTAATTTCAACGAACAATAATGCATTTTTGCTGTCTACTTAACTGCTACATTCTTAAGCTTCTTCCTTCCTAACTGCATAGGTGTTTGTCTTGATTACTTGAGACATTTAATTTTTAGCTTATATTTACTATTTCAGCATTTAGCATCTCTGTCAATTTCTTGCCATATCCCTTTGCAACCATATTGTTCATTTTCACACACAAGAAATTAAGAGAAGCAAATGGGCTTGTAGCAGCTTTTTTGAGTTACAGAATAAGATTTAATTTCATGCTATGAAAGGTTTAAATGCTGAATATTATCATAATTTAGCTCTCTTTGTATAGGTTTTATGTGCTAAATCATGTGCTATAAATGCTATTTCATTTTACAACTTAATTCCTGTTTGAATGGAGCCTACATAAAGGACTAATACATTGTCAGTTAAGATTTGGTCAACCAGACACCAAAATTAGTATTAAAATAGTTTTCCTTTCTTGTTTTCAGCTACAGTTACCTGACAAGCATCTACCCCTCCTTCCAAGTATCCAGCACACAGCATCCTAGGTGTTATGTCCCCATCGTACACTTCTTTTCTGTTGCAAGTCTTTGAGTCAATAAGTTTCACTGTTGCTTCCTGAAGAGCATTTGGAGCTGGACCTAAGAGATAATACAGTTTGGATATTTGTTAACAGAATTATCTTGCAGTAGTTGAGATACATACAGGAAGAGCATTTAATGTTCTCTGATGGAGGATCAGCTTGACTTGGTATAATGTAGAGGTTTTGCTTGTTGATCTGTCTAGGTTAGGCCCTTAAGGAAAACGTACATACTCATTGTCTTAAAAACTGTACCATTGGGACAGAAGTAGCAATTGGCATGGCACATACTGCCTTGTACATACTCCATATAATACCATGGAACACAAATTACCTAGCAATTTGAGCAGATGATACAAAATGAACATGTCTTTGGTTCCATTGCTAAATCTTAGCATGGCCTGGTAAGTGTCTGAGCTTGGGTCAGTCACTGCAGCTCACTCTGCTCATTTACCTAAGAGCCCAGAGTTATCTGTAGCTCCTGTCTAGGGCTGGGAGAATATTTTTTTTTAGGTGGTATGTAAACACATGCATTGCTAGACTACATGTCTTAAGAATTTACAATGTGAAATGGAAAGGCTGAAAAAAGAGAGCAGTTTTCTGCTTGAGTGGACTGTAGCTCTTTGTCCAGTGTAATTTTATAAGAAGGATCTGCTGCTTACAGCTAAGCAAGCCTATTGCTTAAAGCATTAGGCTTGTTGCCATACAACATATATCTGCAGAAGAGGTATCAATTCAGTAGCACAGCAGAGCTACTGTTTATGCAACATACAGGTTGCCTGGCAGACTCACCGTCATTGGTAAGTGCTCCCCAGCCTGTGATAACAGCATAAGTATTGTACAGAAAAGTCTGAGATGGCTCAGGTAGACAGACACGGTGTACAGTACTTGTAAACTCAACTCGTTTCGAGAGCTGCACAAGTGCAATGTCATAATCATGTTCTGGGTACTGGTACATTTCATGAATTATAATAGTCTTGATTGAGCGTTTCATGCTTGGTGGCTTCAAAAGAGCTCCAAAAGTAGCAGTCCACTCCTGAGGGTGACCCATGCTGAAAAAGGTAAGAGTGCTGTTATTTAGCTGTAAATAAAGGTGTCCAGGACTTTAAACTTAGTTAGCACCTTTACTGTAAAGCTCCTTTAAGCCATGTCCCTAGTAGATTTTTAAGGCTTTCATCACTTTACATCAATGTCTCACATGATGTTGTGCTGCTGCTAAAGAGGGCAGTCTGCATTCCCTCCTCAGCCATGGTCTCATACTCCCCCCCTGCTCCTTGTCCCTGATCCAGCCATTGTGTAGCTGCAGGGTGTAATCAAATCAAAAAGCTCTTCTGCCAGAAAACTCTTCATCTCCATTGCATCTTTCGAATGTTAATAATCTGTTCCATTTTAAATGCACTCCAGCTTCACAATTGCCATGCTTGAAACAAAAAGAAGTTGGGAGTGCATGGCTGAATAGAGGGGTAGGAATGTGAGATTATAACCTGTGGTAGCAGCCTGCCATGCCAGCAACCTAACTTCAACGTGAAGAAGTGCCACATTCAGTGCAACAGGAAATAAATACTCTGCCATTTCAGTCACATTACTGTCCCTGCACTTTTTTGCTCAATATGCCGAATGACTACTGATTTCCACTCACGATTGACAGTTCTGCCCAGTCTTTAATTTCTCATTGAAATAGTCAAGTGATGTGTCTGCTTAACCCTGACTTTTCTCCTCTAAGGCAAAAGACTATTTCCCTGGAAAAGAGTTAGGCAAGTAGTGCAAATCTGGAAAGCCATGTAACTTGATAGGCAGAGAATGGGGCACATTCTGCTGCAGATTCTCTCTAATATGGGAACTTACTCTCTGAAGCAGTGAGCTGCAGATACAAGCCAGGTATTGCTGATGAGTGTTGCACCACAGCGATGGATATTATTGTACTGCAAGCTAGCTTGCCACGGCCAGTCCCCAGTCTCTGCAGTAGACAGTCCGCCGACTATTCGCAATGATGTTGATTTTGCCATTGACTTGACTGACCTATTCTGTCGTAACCCGCAGACTGTCAAAAGGAGAAAGAGTGTATCAGCTATTCTTCTGTAGAGTAATATACCTGCCAGTGGCTGTGAAAAAAAGGTAGAGTAACACATCACTTAGGTTCTCTAACACTATCAGCATCAACAAGAAAACATACCTTTCACCAGTCCCCAAAATCAGAGATCCTCATGCACGACCCATTCTGTTAGAAGCCTGAATGAACATCTGACTTGTAGAGAGCCATGATGGTCAAGCATTCAGGCTTAACTGCATAAGCAGCCCAAATCAGAAATCAAAACCATCACCACACACACAGGACAATTCCCAAACACAGGGAATTTGCCATTAATGTCCCAGGTAATTTGTCATTAATGTCCCAGGTAACTTGTCATTAATGTCCCAGGTAATTTGTCATTAGGATAAAACATGAACAAGGCAAAATCTAAGATAGGAATGATCCAAGCCATGGGGTTTTGCCACACATGCATGCAGATTACATCAGCAAGATGTCACCTGGAAACAAGCAACTGTGCATTGCACAAATGGCAGTCTGCAAGCAGACCTGGAAAGGCACTTCAGGCAAAGAGCATCACATTAATCGAAGCCAGAGAAGTCAAAGGCATGGATACTTCCAGCACAGTGTGCATCCATGTCAAAAAGCATTATCCTCCAAACCCAGACAGAAATTAAAATATGCATGGTTTCAGCCACTAAACTCAGGATATTCAGAAGCAGCTGAAGCTCCCCCATAGCTTTGAGAAAATTCCTCAACGGATAAGAGCTGCCTCAGCTCTCTTCTCCCATCAAAACAGCATCGAATCCCTCTTACCTGGACCAAGACCCACTAGTTTTCATCCAGGCCCCAATTTCAGCTAGACATTAACAAAGTTGACAGAGAGGACCAATCCATTAAAAAAGAGACAGGGCTAAGAATCATTTGCATAGTGACAACACAATCCAAGCTATTGCACTGCCTGTTTCCTGCAGACAGTGACCCAGAGTGGGACAAAGCAGAAATCAGTAGTACATCTCTGAAGAGCTGTAAGCCCCAGGGCCCTTGAAGTCCTCAGAAGTGAAACACTGGAGCCACACACAGTGTAATCTCTGCCCCTTCCTGCTAGGATCTGCACAAGGTTATGTTAACAGTACCTCATAGTCAAAAGAAGCAGCAATAACACAGCAGATTGAAAGCTGTTCATAGATTTTGGAGAATAAAGAAAAAAAACAAGTCATGTAATATGGAGAAATTCATGTGCTCAGTGTAGAGTCTGCCCTGTTCTGAGACATAAAACCACAGTGAAGGAAATTGGTGAAATTTAAATCTACTTGTGCAAAACTTACATGTGAAAGGAAAACTGAAGAATATAACTCAGAAGACTGTCTTAACTAGCATGCTTCCCTGCAGAAAGATATTGGTAATCCTTAATTACTGGTCCTAAAACTGCATAATCCTGATAACCATCTGAACGGTCAATGTTCAAAGCACAGGGAAAAACTCAGTTTCATCCGTATCCCAGAACACCAGCACCTAAAACCAGCATCAACTGATGTTATTTAATCTTCAATTACTTGACAGCCTGCTGCTAAGGAAATAATCAAACCTCTCAGAGTCGAAAGAAACCCAACTTTTAAGCAAAGATAGCTTTTTATAACAACTATATCTTCAAACAAGCGAACTTCCTTCTCTAAAAGCCTAAAACCATCTCTAAACCAAGCTACCTCAATCTAACCACTACAGCATTACCTTGAGACCAGTCATATTGCCTTTTTATGTCTGTGAGGAGCAATTTTGTGCTTCTAGCCATTTCAAAATCCAAAATATTTTCATTATAATCATTTTCTAATGTAACTTCTTTACATTTCCTTGTGGTCCTTTCTTCCTTCCAATGCATACTTAAGAAAATGACATATTCGCAGTTTCTGAGAGCACAGAGAAGGACATTATTCCAAAATCTCCTGCCTGTGCCCAATCTTACCATTTTAATAATAACTTGATGAAATATAACAAGGGAAAGTGTAGAGTCCTGCATCTGGGCAGGAACAACCCCAGGTTCCAGTATAGGCTGGGGAACGACCTGTTAGAGAGCAGTGTAGGGGAGAGGGACCTGGGGGTCCTGGTGGACGACAGGGTGACCATGAGCCGACACTGTGCCCTTGTGGCCAAGAAGGCCAATGGCATCCTGGGGTGTATTAGAAGGGGGGTGGTTAGTAGGTCGAGAGAGGTCCTCCTTCCCCTCTACTCTGCCCTGGTGAGACCTCATCTGGAATATTGTGTCCAGTTCTGGGCCCCTCAGTTTAAAAAGGACAGGGACCTGCTGGAGAGAGTCCAGCGCAGGGCAACTAAGATGATCAAGGGAGTGGAGCATCTCCCGTATGAGGAAAGACTGAGGGAGCTGGGTCTCTATAGTTTGGAGAAGAGGAGATTGAGGGGTGACCTTATTAGTGTATATAAATATATAAAGGGGGAGTGTCACGAGGATGGAGCCAGGCTCTTCTCAGTGGCAAACAATGAAAGGACAAGGGGTAATGGGTACAAATTGGAGCACAAGAGGTTCCACTTAAACCTGAGAAGAAACTTCTTCTCAGTGAGGGTGACGGAACACTGGAACAGGCTGCCCAGGGAGGTTGTGGAATCTCCTTCTTTGGAGACATTCAAGACCCGCCTGGACACGTTCCTGTGTAACCTTATCTAGGTGTTCCTGCTCCGGCAGGGAGATTGGACTAGATGATCTTTTGAGGTCCCTTCCAATCTCTAACCTACTGTGATACTGTGATACTGTGATTTTTGGGGCACATCTCACTTGCAAGCTGCATTATAGGTCTGCTGCTATCCTTAAAGTATCAATTGAACAACATGCTGGTACTTGTGCAGGTGTAAATCTCATCATTTAATTTATGTATAGGAAAATAACAGGTAGTAAGGTGGGCACAAATTGTTATGCTACAGCATCCAAGACAAGCGTATATGAAACAGATTCTTCAGTCACTGCTCCAAAATGCAGTTCTAATATTTTACATAAGGGAGACAGAAGACAAGCCTGTGTAGGCAGGATCAGACTTCATGAAGTGTTCTATTTAAGCACATGTTTTAATCAGCTTATAATAGAGATTGCTTCTCACTGCAATCTGCTCAAATATAAAATGCACTCAAATCTGTGATAAGGACTCTCCTGCCTTTAGCACATTATAGTACACCCTTTAGCTATCTGTTGTGCATGACACGAAGCAGTCGTCTAGCCCAAGCAATTAAATTCCTTTATTTGTTGCTTACTGCTTACTCAGTTTTACTACATACACCTAGGAGTCATCTGCAGTGCCTTAGCTTTCATGCAGAAACATGGCTTAGTGTCTGCATGTTCAAATACACAGTTAATCAGACACAGCGTAGAAGCTTTCACTGGTTCCAACAGCAACAGGATCAGCCTAGTAAATAAATGTCCTGAACATTACAGTACTCAGCACTCACTGGCTAGGTTATTTCTTTCCTAGATGACCAGGTTTACATTTAAGATGCACCCTCCGCCTCCCACACCAGCACTGCTGGAGACCAAAGTGTGCCATAGTCACCAGCAGGACCTGCATGCCTCCTCTCTGCCCAGCACTGGGGATTTGTATAGAGCCCTCAGCACTTGCTCTTTTCTCACAGAATTGCTGATATTTTTATCAGAAGGAACATCTCGCTACCAAAAAGATGACCAGGGAACTCAGCAGTGGGTGCAGACTTTTTACCCCATCACCAGTTTTCAAGCCAGTCATCTTAAGCGTCCCAGAAGACACTAAAAGAAAAAGGCCTCCTCGTGACTGAGCAGGATTCCTAAACACATTGCTTATCTGCGTGAAGTACAACGTCACATTCATTAGACAGAAGGATAAGAAACCGCTTTTCAGGGCCATGAAAAGTGCTCAGAGACTATTAATGCTAATTAAAACAATCAGAGATTTCCCAGGCTTAAAAATCCCTCACTTACTGTCATTGAAGAGGGCTTCTGCTCTTTTTGTCTCCATATCTGAAACAAACAAACAGTCAGGGTAAGGCCAAGACAGCACAGACAAGGTTTCCCATTGCAAGGTCATCCCCCAACAGCTATGTGAGTGCAGAGCAACACAGGATGTACAGCGGAGGGAGACTGCTAGAGAAACTGGTATAGCTCTCAAGTGGTCACGTTCTTGCACTGGCTGTTGCACTCCTCTCTGCAGTGCTGCTTGCTGTTCTCCAGCCAGCCAACATCCTCTGAGGAACAGGCACAGGGTCTCCCCCATCCTGCTTAGGCCCTGATGTTCCTGGAGAGTAGTATAGACAAAAGAAGTCCTGTTTTACTCAAGATCTACAATTTTGCTGGGGGGAAGTTTTTACAGTGGAAAGTTTTGAAGTTCCTTTTTTGTAGAAACTCAGTTGGCCATATTTTACATCAGAGTGAGAGCAGAAGGAATCAGGTACTCACTTTGTGCCCTCTTCCAGATCAGAAAGCACTGGGTTTACAGCAGCAATGCCAGTTTACAATAGCTCACTTTCCTTTCTCTTATCTTATTGAGCAACAGCGTGTCTGGTGCACTGTTAATACTAAAATAGCTAATAGCATGGCATAGCAGGTTCTAGCAATACAGTCCCTCTTTTAATGTGCATGTTGTATGTTTATGGACCATACAGTATGATCATGCTGAAAGTAACAAGTGTTGGCTCAAATGTCCCCTTCTTCCAGGATGCTCTTTTACTATAGCTACTGTTTTAGTTGCTAGCAGTCAAAACAAGTAAAAAATAAAACCACACTTTTAATTACACAGTGATTCTTGAACAGCATTCACATCGTCACTTTTTGCAGCTGGATAACCTTTCTTGGCAGATTCCTGTCCTTATCCACTCACTTCATTTCCCTGTTCTCTTTGCAACTACACAGAATAATATTCTAGTTTTGATCCAAAACCACACCAAGCCAGGAGGAGTCTCTTTTGAATGCAAAGGGCTCTGGCTCATACTTGTCACCCGTTTTGCTCGTAACACTTGTGTTTTTCTTGTGGGCTTGGCGCTCTTCCTGGTATGCAGGGTGAACTGCATGTTTGCAGTCCACCATTACTAGAGGTGTACTCATTCATTCCTTAATGTGACATTAAGCAGATTATGATAGGACAAGGAAACAAACAGAACTCTGGTGCATGTACAGCTTGACTGCAGGGAATGTTACAGAGCAAAGGCAGGGCTAGGAATGCCATACATGCATGCATCTGCTGCTTTATTTTGTAAGAATAGGAGATGAGTTATAATTGGACATTTATATAGCAAGTCTTACTATAAACAGGAACTTTTCACATACATAACAAAGATAAATAAGCTTTTCTGGAGGGCAGGCAACAACTTGCAAGGTCCCCTTCCAGTAAAAATGCTCACTTGTACTTCCTCAATTCCTATAAAAGAAGAAAAACCTTCAAGTACAGATGCTTTTGCATTTCAGGAATATTGGTTGTATGCTGGAATTTCCATGGATAATATGGTTGGTTGTTGCCAAGATCCCTTACTTCAAAATGACCTAATACAAGATGGTAAAAGCTAGGCCAGCGGAAGGATTCAGTGGTGGCGTAAACATTACTGTTTGATAAGTTACATAGTGAGCAGAAAAAAATGGGTGCTGAGCTGTGCTAAGGATTTGTCCTTTTCACCTGTATGTTTATAATGGCAAGAAGTGCTGTGAAAAAAACTGGCCCTGCTTATTTCTGGTGATGAGCATCCAGTGTTTTCCTAGAAATTCATATGAGTTTCAGAACTAGCTCCTAATTTGAGTCTCTCTAGTATTTTATAGCTGGAAACTGGTAAGAAACCAACAACGAAAGAGCACCTTTTGCCTTCAAGTGTAATATTGATAATAATGGTTTTTAGCTCCTCTCTGGGTGGAGAGACATTTACCTCATAATGCCTAATTATAAAGCCTGCAGTCAATTATTAGCACTTACATTATGTTGCAAAGCTCATCGAGAAGACAAAAGGAGCAACCAGCTTGTTCAAGTGCAGTGCCGGAAGCAATTCAGTTGGCATGTTCTCACTGCACTGAGTTTGCTGTGAGTCACGCAGCTCGTCTGCAAGGCACCTGCCTGTATCTCTATTTGCCTTTTTATGAGGCACCTAGGAAAAAGTACAAACCTCACATAGGCAATATTTTACCCACTGCTTCCAGCTGCACTGACTTGGAATTGGAGAAACAAGTCTTACACACATATACTGCAAGTCTTACATAGCAT